AATGGTCCATGCTGGTCTGGAGTCACTACAGAGAAGATATTGGAGTGAGTGTCACTTTACTTTGTTTATATTGAATAGTAATTGACCTCAACTTCATCAAAGTCCCAAGAATATACAATCATAATGTGATTAAGCTAACAACACACAATTATACTCTTTTTTGTCTTGTGAACAATCACATGAAACATTCATAGTGTATTGGAAAATGTAAGTGAACACTTAGGTTTAATAGCAAGTTCATCCTCCTTTGGCAGCAATGAACTTAACAAATCATTTCATAGCTGCTGATTTGACCTGTACAATGCCCGGGAAGAATTTTGGACCACTCTTCCTTACAGAAATGCTTCATCTCAGCAATATTCTTAGTTTTTGCAGTGCGAACAGTTTTTTTTTATCTCATTCCACAGCATCTCTATGGGGTTAATGTCTAGATTCTGACTGGGCCATTCTAAAATGTTTAGAATTCTTTTTATAAGCCTTATAGTACTTGACTTTTTACTACAATTTTTAAGATGAACCATCTGCTACATCAACCAACTTCTACTGAGATCCAGTTGGCACACAGCAACCCTGATATTATCCTCTGAGATATCTTGATAAAATAGGGAATTCATGTTGCTCATGTTGTTCTTTACACTGTACTTAACTGCTGGGATGATGTTTTATGTTGGTATGTGGTACCAACATCACACATAGTACTGATTGTTCCCAAACAACTCAACCTTATTTTCATTGTCCACAAAATATTTCCACAGTAGTTTGTGGAGTGTCAAGCTGGTCTTTGGGAAGCTGCATGGTGTCCTGCCACGCACACCATAGTTGTTTAATGTTTTCCATATATTATACCTGTAAACACAGATTTTAACCTATTCCAATGATTTCTTCAAGTCTTTAGCTGTCATTCTAGGGTTCTTTTTTACCTCATTGAGAATTTGGTTTATCTCCCTAGAAGTGGCCATACAGCCAAGATGATTCACATTTAAAGATAACTTTGTGCCTCACAAAAAATGAGCTCCTAGAAGACAGGCAGTCAAGAATTGTTACCCAAATGCAAGGCAAAAATTCTTGATCACATTGTCTTGTAAGGGCTTTTTTTGTGAGGCATAGTTCACATGCTTTTTTAATAGAAAACTCAAAATGTTTAAGTGCTCATTATAAATAAAGGCAGTATTAAACTACACCTCCAATCTTGTTGCATTAATTGGACACCAGGTTTGCCTATTTCCAACTCTATTTAGATTTTTCTGAAGTCATTAGCCTTGGATTTTGCATACTTTTTCCAACATAGAGGGTGAATATTTGAATTGTATATTCAATATATACAAGAACAATACAATAATGTGTGTGTCATTAGTTAAAACAGATTGTGTTTGTTGATTACTTTAACTTAGATGAACATAAAACCACATTTTAAGAGACATTTATATATACATGATGCAATCATTTCTAAAGAGTTCACATTATTTTCTGGTCACTGTATATGTTAAGGATGGGACCAGACTAGGGGAAAGAGATTAGATAAAGAGGACACGTGGTGGGGAGAGAGGATAAGTGAAGTTTAGAGACCCCTTCCTCAAGGACAGGGGGAAAGAGCTAAGAGTGGTACAAGGAACATAATGGACACTGATTATTGGAGGGGAGAAAGGAAGAGGATACATTTCATTCCTTATTTGGTTGATTTTGTCAGTAAAGTGAAATGTAAAATCACTAGTTGTGACATTAGTTAATGGCAGGGGCATGTGAAAAAGGAATTGTGGATCAGGATAGTAAGTGGACATGAAAGAGATAAAATACTCTTGCAATGCTAATTGTAAAATGTCAAAGTTATCTTATTATGTCTGTATTAAAACAAAATATTACATAAGAGAACTTTGGTTTAAAATTGTTTTTCTGTTTGCTATTTTGTATTATACAAATATACAAACCTGTATTCTGGGAACTATTGCTCCCCCTGCCTTCCTCCCTTTATTTACTCACCAATGTCCCTTGGCGTTGGGTCAAAGCTCCTCCACCTCTGACATCCCGCACAGAGCGGGCTCTAATGCGAATGCGCTACAAATGCTGCATGCACCTTAGACCTCCCCATAGGAAAGCATTGACTCATAGTGCCTGATCAGCTGCACCTGTGGATGTAGCAGAAGTAGTCACACTACAAGACTCAGACAGGCAGTAATTAAACACATTTAAAAAAGAGAAGTAACAGCAGCTGGAATAATTTACTTTTAAAATAAATTGTGTTTCTATATTTAACAGCCAGACATTAGAAAAAAAAAAGAAATCTAGAAAAAAAGCTTTTATTTTAAGGAAAATGTGTCTGCTACTCAGCTAGGTAGTACAAACCCAAATGCAAATAAAGACATATAAAAAATGTGGAGCAGCAGGAGTAATTTAATTTGATTTTTTTTTTTATAAAATAGTTGAACAATGGGATCTCCGTTCCTAAAGTGGTGTTGCTGTGACTTAAGTGTTCTGTGACATCCCTAAATAATTTAATGACTACCAACAGCTGCCCTATTATTGTTCAGTCCACATGCTCATGTGGGGATCCAACACACTGGTTGGAAAATGGACTATGGAAAAGATTGCACTGAACTGTTCCAAAATGCTTTTCAGCATGTCTAAAGTGGAGTTCCACTGACATCTTGGCTTAGACATGAATGACATATTGGTCAGTGATCAGGTGGGAGGCCAGGCATCTGAGTTTATTAGTCTGCTGTTTTGACATGAACCTGACATGAAATCTAACAAAATGTTCAAATGGGCTGGGGGACAGATCCCTGACATGACAAGTAGTCCAACTGTTTCTGTCCAACCAGCCTCTGTTGACTATTAGCACTATCCCCAACATCCTGTTTACTCTGGTGTGGTAGTAGTTGAGGAGGTACTGCTGCTGCCCTTTTTAAAAATGCCTTTCACTGTAGTGATTTCACCCTGCCATATGTTTATGTTGAACAATGGGTTGCTTGTTAAGTTTACTATTTTGATTGACTTTAAGATTAAACACTGCACTGCATAAAACACACCATGCTCTGCACAGTGCTCACACATTTGCACTGTACAAAATCAAAAAAGAAAAAGGCTGAAAAAATAATTCTTTAATGATGTACCCTGTCTAAAACTCTACTGTTACTGCTGCAGAACACTGGACTGAAGATATTTCAGTCCTAACATACTTCTTATTATGTCACCTCTTATGAATATAATTACTTACCCTTTTTAGAATAGTGAAGATTGCTTGTGAGTTTTCTGTTGGATAAAATATATACTTACCTAGTGCACACCATTTGATATTTGCTAACAAATAAATTAGACCATTTTTTTATTATAACTATACATATTTATTTCGTATTTATATTTTATTTTGTATTTTTTTCATTTTTTGTTTATTATTTCAATGTGTCTTATTGTATCTTTTTATGTGTGAACATATGGTATGCATCTCATTTTTCTATAGCAACTGTTGGCACTATAGGGAATCTACACTGCAGAAACCTTTACAATCCAAAACAGGAAGTGATGTACCGCAAGTTCAGAGGCTCATCATTCGGGGGAAAACAAAGCCACATATATGTCGGTTAGACTGATCTTTGCTGGCACATGTTCCCGATTGGAAGCCAGCATCACATGACTATTAAGGCGGAGCCAGTACATGTACTGATAAAAGAAGCCCATCCGGGTGTGCCATGTTTCAGGAGAGCTACACAGATTTTATATAGGATTTGGTTTTCTTTTGGTTACTTTGTTTTAAAATAAATATTTATTAAATATTGCCCAATATTGAACCTATACTGTAGCATCTTAACTTCTATTAACCTGGGATATATCCAAGATATGTCACCCTGATTGGCTCTACACTTCTTTTACCTGGAGCCTGATGTTTAGGCTCCTACAAATGCAAACAACGTTTTAAAGGTTCGATAGATAGCATATCATATTTCTAAGCATACTGCATAATATTGTTTTGTATTTTATTGTGGAGGAAAACATCTGGTTAAATAGATGGTAAGTTGCCTTAAGAGCACAAAGGTCTTCAAGATCTGAGTTTGTCTGTTTAGGTTCCACCAACTGAGATATTAATTATTACTCACTATATATCCCATATTTTATACCATTTTCTGTATTATAGCAGGAGTAAGTTAAATTTAACTTAGAGCACTCCATTTGCATTTTTATCATCTGATAATTGTTTCTTAGTAGTACTTCATCACATAGAGATTGTCCATTGTACAACGTAATGTTAATTGCCTTTATACACATCCACACATTTTTTATTGAATTTAATAATGTAACATTACGACAAATTGATAGCTTTGTATTGGCACAGGTCAAGATCATGGTACAGAGACACAGGGTACGCCAAACTCATAACCAAATAAACTGCACAGTAAGAACCATGCACTGGGAATCACCCTAAAGAGAGTAGAGCCTTATAAAGGACTAGGCCTTTGATGGCAAAAAGACTTTACCCTGCATGATAATGATATTCCATAGTGACATTAATAAATAATGAAGCATCCAGTGTTAAAATTTGTAATAGTAGAGACAAGCGTCACAGAAGAGTGCTAGGTTATGTGAAAAAAAGACACACATTAATGAACTTGACACAGCCTCATATCGTAAAAATGAATTAGCCATGAATAAAAAAGGGTACAAACGAGCAGTAATGGCAGCCGAACAGTAACCAAGCTAGCAAGGTGATGATGACACTAGATATAAGGGACACCTAGAACCACCACATGGACAAAACTGTAATTTCAGGAAACATTATTCAGCCGAATCGAGCAATCACACCGTGCACAAATGCATCCTGTTATTTATATTCCTTTATGGATATTCACAAAGTACACTAACTACTAACAAATTCTTTAAAAGTACACTTCTCAAAATACACCATTGGAAAAAAAAAATATAAAAGAAAAAATTAAAGCCAGTTGCTTAGTTAGGGGGTCAATCAAGAAGTAAAAACAAGAAAAGAGCATTTTAAAATTTTTAGTCAGAAGGTCTGTTTAGTAGGCCAAACGTGAAGATGGAAAGCAAACTGCCAAAGAGAATAAAAGCAAGACCAGCTTGAGATATGTTTTAATAATGTCAAAACTAAAAAAAAGTTAATAATGAAAGTGTTAGTCTATTAAAATGTAATATAGATGTGTTAAAGGATAAGGATAGAATAAGAAATACTTTTTACCCATTAGCATTGTGAAACAGAGATATAGCTCCTTTAATGCCAATGTGTTCGCTTATGATAATCAGTTGAATGATAAAATTCCCCAAAATCCTATTTTTCTTCTATACAGTTTACTACTCTTATATCTGTAAACTAGGTATATTACACTTACGTTTTGAAGCTGCAAAAATCTGATTTTTTAAAAATGTTTAAAAATGACAAAGTACATTTTCTTAAAATGGCATTCAATCTATGAGAACAGCAAGGTGACGGTTTTTAAAAGGGGTCCTTCATACCTTATTTTTCACAATTGCACATGTGAAGGTCAGTGTCATTGGATCTTAAAATATACAAGCAAGCATCATTCACCAAAAAAAAACCCAACAAAAAAAACAAAACACCTAAATAATCATTACCCGTAGGAGGTGATGATTTATGTGGCACTGTTCCACAAGTACATTGCAGAACAATGTTTAAATTTGTTTTTCTTCCAAATCCATCATAATATGGTCAGCGATTTTAGGCCAACATAAGAAAGTACACTAATACCATTCCCATTTAAGACTGCATTTTTAAAATTCCTGTTACTGTTTGCAAGGATCATAGATTTACAAGAAATAAAAGTTAGATTATTTTATTCTGGAAAGTCACAAAATGATTGTCAATGTGCTTCATTTTTTTCTGAATTATATTTTTTATTGTACAGAAGCAATTGTAATTGACATAACCTATTTTATAATACCTGGTCACTTGGGTAACATATTGTTATGTCCTAAAAAGAAAAGAAAAACTGCTTTAAAGACCATCTAAAGTATTTTAATGCTATAATGCACTTAACCAAAAGGCGCTAAGTGTAGTTCCATAGATTGTCTAAAATCATGAATAATTGAATAATTATTTTAAAGTAATATTATGGTTATCAATTCTTCAGTTGTATGGTAAAGAAAAAAGATGTTATCCACGTCCTTTGATTGTCTGTTAGAATCTTGTCTTTTTTCACACAAATCGAATTGGTGCACCTCAAAGATAACAGAGTATTAATATCATAACACCATTGTATTTATAATACAATACTCCAAATATATATGTTAAAACAAACATACAGTTGCAAGAAAAACTATGTGAACCCTTTGGAATGATATGGATTTCTGCACAAATTGGTCATAAAATGTGGTCTGATCATCATCGAAGTCACAACAATAGACAATCACAGTCTGTTTAAACTAATAACACACAAAGAATGAAATGTTGCCATGTTTTTATTGAACACACCATGTAAACATTCACAGTGCAGGTGGAAAAAGTATGTGAACCCCTAGACTAATGACATCTGAGGTGTTGGTTGGAGGTGTTGGTTACAGCTGCCCTGCCCTATAAAAAACACACACCAGTTCTGGGTTTACTTTTCACAAGAAGCATTGCCTGATGTGAATGATGCCTCACACAAAAGAGCTCTCAGAAGACCTACGATTAAGAATTGTTGACTTGCATAAAGCTGGAAAGGGTTATAAAAGTATCTCCAAAAGCCTTGCTGTTCATCAGTCCACGGTAAGACAAATTGTCTATAAATGGAGAAAGTTCAGCACTGCTGCTACTCTCCCTAGGAGTGGCCATCCTGTAAAGATGACTGCAAGAGCACAGCGCAGACTGCTCAATGAGGTGAAGAAGAATCCTAGAGTGTCAGCTAAAGACTTACAAAAGTCACTGGCAAATGCTAACATCCCTGTTAGCGAATCTACAATACGTAAAACACTAAACAAGAATGGATTTCATGGGAGGATACCACAGAGGAAGCCACTGCTGTCCAAACAAAACATTGCTGCACATTTACAGTTTGCACAAGAGCACCTGGATGTTCCACAGCAGTACTGGCAAAATATTCTGTGGACAGATGAAACCAAAGTTGAGTTGTTTGGAAGAAACACACAACACTATGTGTGGCGAAAGAAAGGCACAGCACACCAACATCAAAGCCTCATCCCAACCGTGAAGTATGGTGGTGGGGGCATCATAGTTTGGGGCTGCTTTGCTGCGTCAGGGCCTGGACGGATTGCTATCATCGAAGGAAAAATTAATTGCTTTGGGTTCAACTTATATGGGCACATGGTTTTGGCATGAGCCCTAAAGCAAATGGAGCACACGTGTAGTAATCTGCAGGCACTAAAGCTACACACACCTGCATTAAAATTATTGCAGATTTGTGCTTTGCCTAAATAGATAATGGGACGGCCGAGCTTATCTTTTAAGCCCCGTTGACCAGGCTTGCTAGTTCCACCTGAGATATTAGAATAGGAGGGATCAGCCTCTGAGGGGCACATATTGGTGGTATGAGAGGTGGAATAGCAGACTGCAGAATACGGGGGTACCAAGCCTGCAAAATGTCTGCAAAAGAGTTCTGTGTCCAAAAGGCTCCAGTCAGTGCGGATGTTAAACTGGGCCAGGGTTGCAGCTGCTTTTGCCGACACAGACTTGTGGAAATCGTAGAACATAAAACTTGTGGCCTAAGTATACCACTTTGTGTAGATATAAATCTAGTTCCTCTCGACACTGTGGATAAACAGAGCATACAACATCCCTGTAGATACCGAAGGCTAGGACAAACTCGGGTTTGGTGAGTTTTTTATTGAGTCGTGGGTCTCTAGCCTTCATAACGACAGCCATATCACCGTAATTGTATGTTCTGTTCTCCACAATGTTTTGAGAGGCTATTAGTAATGAGACCAGATTCACATCTTTCCCATCTAAAATATCCTTACGGAGGTCCGGAGGGACCATGTGTGCTGGGGTTATTACGTGGGTAGTGGGGGGGGATAGTGAAAGGTGAGGTTGGGGGCCTAACCTGTGAGTTGGCGGGTGTAAGTGCTTGTCAAGACCCCACTGGAGAAGGATCTCTGTGAACTGGGCTAGCATTTTCCAATTTGGTCAGTCTATCATTAATGGACTGAAGAGACGACAGGATGGAGTTTAGTGTCCCTTTTATGTCTGCGCTGTACCCAGCCCAGGATCCTTAGGATGCATTGTGATCAACTTGAAGAGTTTGGCTTTTCTTGCAGTAGCTAGGAAAGGGATTCCCCTATGGCGCAATTCAGCCGAGATCCTGGGGATAGTCCAGGATCTTAAAGAGTCTGGCGTGGATGGTTCTTGGAACTCCCGGGTGGTACCAAGTCTAAAAGGGGTGTTAGGCCTAGCGGGTGTGCTAGGGGTAGATGAATCATCACCTATGTTGGCTGCTTGGGACATGCTGCAAGAAAGAACAACACAATAACAATGATCTGATTAATAAAAATACTGTTGAGCTTAAGTAGAACTGGCTGGCTAACTAGTGCCGAAGAGAAAAGCTATCTACCCCGTGACAGGTGAGGCCCTGCTAGTTGCCAAGTGGCAGATAAGAGGCTCTATTTATGATTTGGGCATGGGGCTTAAGCCACTAACATAGTGGCGGGGTGTTGGCCTCTCTGTGACAGTAAAAGATTCAAAACGTGTGGCCGTGACAGGTGAGGCCTGACTATAAACAGGATAGGTGGGTGAGTGCCAGGCTCTAACTATGATTTGGCCTGAGGGGCGAAAATCTCTGTGTTGAGATTGGGGAGTTGGCCTCACGGGGCCAGCATCTGTACAACTAAGGCCAGTGCCTAATCCTAAAGAGCCAGTTCTCTGACCCTATACGGGGGCTTGATGAAGGGGTAATACAACGTACCTAGCGAAAACCCAAGTTGAAGTTTCTGTGAAAAAATGACTCTCTATGAGACCTACAACATAAAAAAAGGAGAGAGAAGGAGAAAGGGGAAAGGGGGTGAGATGAGTGAGAATATAAAAAAGGGGGAGAGGGAAAAGAGAAAAGAAGTAGAGAAAAAAAAAATATATAAATAATAAGTTTAGATTTGGTGTAGTGGAGTTTCCGTGATATTGCTGATAGAAACATAACCATAGGCTCTGAGTGTGCTGAAGAGACCAAGGATAGCTACTATATTCCCCTAAAAAAGGAGATCCCTGAAGATGTCGTGCTACTAAAGCATGGTAGTATTTGAAGGAGAAGGGTGAATGAACGAGAGGTGCTTGTCAAAAACAGGACGTTTAATTATGGATAGTGAGTTCGGATAAACGTATAACGAGTTGTTGAGTGGAGCCGTGGCCTGACGAGGCAAGGTGGGAAAAATCAAGCCCCTGTACCCTAATAACCCCAACATGGAAAATGCGTGGCCTTCTAGAGGCAGTTAAATGAAATGTGAACAAAAATATATACTGGCTTATTGTAGAATGCCGTACTGAAAACCTGACATTGAGGTGCAGTATTTCAAAAGAAAAGAAAGGAGAGGATATCCATAAGGAGATATCTAAATATGAACCCCTCCTCTTAATTAATTGTAGCCATATAAGAATACCTAATTATACAGATTAAGTAACATATAATAGGCTATAGTATAGCAATTGTAATAGGTGACTTAAATTGTAATATAAATCATGAAACAAATTGTCAATTGCAATGTTTGTCAATTGAACAGTCTGAACCATCCAGCAATAATGTTACAATCTATGGATGTGATTCATAATGGACTATATATATATATATATATATATATATATATATTCTGCATAGTTAGTATTAACCCTCAGTGTTCTGCCATTCCCATAAACTAACCACTAGAATAGTGGTTGCCCGAATTGAAATATAGTGATTCATTCAACTAACTGAACAGAGCAGTAATTGCACAAATTGATTATGTTAAAGGAACTAACAAAAACCCTGGTATAGCAGGTGTAACGAGTGTTCGGCTGTTTGAGCGTTCGACTGTTTGTTCGTCTGAAAAAAAAAAAGTCAAAACATAAATTGAAAAATGTTGAACGGCAGAAATAGCCAGAACACGACTATTTTGCCTATGACCTGACGTTCGTTTGTTTGGCGATTCGTTTGCACGAACAGAGGATGCTGACTGGGGGGAGAACGTAAAGGGCGCTGGGACCAGAAGAGCGGCGGTCGAGAGCCGTAAGTTCGGCTGTTAACCCCTTAAGGACACATGACATGTGTGACATGTCATGATTCCATTTTATT